TGTGTTTATCGGTTTAAAATAAACAGGAATATCATGTTGTAGAAATATTCTTTGTATTTTCTCTGAGAGGCCGGCAATATAAGGTACACAGACACCCCTTCTCTTCTTTTCTCTCTGTTGGTTGGTTTCCTCTCTGTTTGTTTTAATTTTCCTAACTTTGCCAAAGGTCATTTAGGGTAGCTACACCCTGACAATGCCTTCTCAATGTGTTTGACCTCACTCTCTCTTGACTTGGTGTTGGTGGAGATTTGGCTCGCTGTGTTCAAGTGTTCTAATTACACCTAGCTTGTGTTGCAGCGGGTGATTGGAGTTGAAATGCAAATACTGATCTGTGTGCGTGGGTTTTCTGTAGACCTCAACCTTAAGAGTTCTCTAAGCTGACCTTGCAATCCAAAAAGGCCAGTGCGTTGTCTTTTGCGTCTTCTCTGGTGAATTTGATGCTGTCGTCTAGATTATTTATGTGTTCGGTTAATCCCTCAACTTCCGTTGTTTTGATTTTGACAAAGGTGTCATCCACATATCTAAACCAATGGCTTGGTGGGGGACCTTTGTATGAAGACATTGCCAAATTTTCAAATTCTTCCATGTACAAGTTGGCCACAATGGGAGACACAGGGGATCCCATGGCACATCCAAAGACCTGGTGGTAAAACGTGTCCCTGAATTTGAAGTAAGTTGTGTTGAGGCATATTTCTAACAGTTCACAAATGTGTTCCGGCAACAGTTTAGTTCTTTCAGCTAGCGTTTTGTCATCTAAAAGTTTTCTTCTAACAGCCTCTACAGCCCTGGCTGTGGGCACCGAGGTGAACAGGGCTGTGACGTCGAAAGAAACGATTGTTTCGTCATTCTCTACTTTTAAGTCCCTAATTTTGTTGACAAATTCACCTGTGTTTTCAACATTGTGTTTGCTCAGGCCCACAAGGGGCGACAATATTGAGGTTAACAGGCCACGCTCAGCCTTTTAGCGCAGAGCAACTTCCCGGAGTCTTCACGGAGACTTCAGGGTTGTCTACCGCTGACGAAGCTTCTGTGAGAGAAGCGAAACGTCCTTTTTTGTTTTTTGTTTTTTACCCACAGGTACAGATGACGACTGACAGAACCCTTTCTACGATGTTACAGAGTATTGGATAATAAAGTAAATTACTTCTTCTGTATGGATGTACATCAATACTGAAATAAATACTTTAAAAATGAACGCTGAAAGCTCATATAAGATATTAATTGACTATGATGAAGGACATTTATATAGGTAATTATGCCTCTGTGCCTGTCAGTCCAATTGAAGCATCATTATCTGTTGATACGGCTCACTGTTTAATGAGTGGCTAATGAGTGTAATTCTGAGTGCCTCTGAGATGTTTTTGCTTCTGACTCATAACGAATACCTGCATTCGATTTTTTTGTTGTTGTTTCGCTTGGGATCGTGGCAACTGCAGTGCTTTGAATGTGTCTCCATGACAACCTGTAACCTCTTGCTGGGGTGGCTTTGGTTATTTTTCCCAAGGTAATCAACACATCAGCACGGTAGATGATGCATTGAAAGGCATATTTTCATTAGGTAGCGGGACACCTTTAGATTATGTTATTCTCACGTTTGTATGTTCCGATCGTAATTCTCAGCCTCACCTGGCCCTGCCATGCAAAGGCAATTGTCAGTGTTAATAAAATGAGACGATTTTTCAGATTGAAGAGTGCGGGGGATGAGTCAGATGCAGCCTGGTCGATTGCTCCATGCTGATCGCATCAGTGTGATTTCCTGCACGGAGGCCCATTATGGTTTGCTCTTACACAGACAGGAAGTGCTCCGTGGCGAGACTTTCGACTGTAATGCAAGAGGTCAAACATTCTCACACTTACTGCCGAAATGCTCTAACATGCATACGTGAGAAATGATTCACTCATTGATTTTACTGAAACGTTCTCACAGGTACTTTTGAAACATGCTCACAAACTCCAACAAAAAAATTCTGTTATGTGCTTCTCAAGTACTTATGCACAAACTACTGAAATGCTGTCTCACACGAATGACATACTCTCACACACATCATTGAAACACGCTCACGTATAGCTGAAAAACATTTGTTCATAAAAATTACTAAAACTACCCTGATACACACTGCTGAAACTCACACACTATTGAAATGCTCTCACACACTCCTGAGAAAGTATTCTCGCTCTCTCTCAGTCACACGCACTACTGAAAAATTATTTGCTCATGGACACTACTGTAACACCCTCACATTCACATTAATAAAGCCCTTGCGCACACACTCTCCCTGAAACATTCTCACACACACTACTGTAGAATTATTCGCTCATACACTATTGAAACACTCTGCCACTGAGACCCAAATAAAATTGGCTTTGTCCCTCTGCAGTGTCATGAGAGACATGTTTCCCATCAGGAGCACCATGATTGTAAGGTCATCTGCATATGTCACAGGGCGGATACAACCTCATCACATCACTCAATAAGAGCTCCCGCATTGTCTCCCCCACAGCAGCTCCTCATGAGACAGACAGACACACACACGCGCGCACACACACACACGCACACGCACACACACACACACACACACACACACACACACACACACACACACACACACACACACACACACACACACACACTAGAAAGTTCCTTTTCTCCTCCCTTGAACCAAATGCTCTGCATGTCCTTATCTTGTAAACAGGAATCGTGCTTTTACCGTATTTGAGCTGCACTTTCGTGGCGATGACATCAACATTTGTATTTGCTGTGTGACATCTGTCTACTACACACTTTTAATGCTTCTCATCTTGTGTGACCTTTCAAAATGGCAACACATTTTTTCAGTACGTAAAAAAAAAAAAAAAACCCTCCAAAGATCGCCGCATTTTAAAGCCGATTAGGAAGTGTTGGCATACTGAGCTCCCTGCTCACTGAACATGACCCCAATTTCATTTTACTACCCGCTGTCTGAAGTTTTAAATATTTTTGTTTCATGATAATGGCCTTTTGGTGCCTAAGTTTATTTGACATGTATGACTGAAATTAATTTGGAAATTAAAGAAAACTTGACCAAAACTACCAATGTCCAAAGGTGTAAAATGAAACTTCACATACTGATACTGATGCTGTAAAATGATACACTCGCTGTAATCCAGATTAGCGAGCGAGTAAAGATGTTGGGATGAGCACTATAATGCGCACAAATGCATCTTTTGATGGAGGCTGTCAGTCCTGGCGTGTTTCCTTATCATATGGAATAAAGTGTTTAAGCTGTAAATGGTGGTAGCTTGGTCAACTTTGTATGAGATGTGTTAGTCAAAAGAGGACAGGGCAGGCCAGGACATGACACAAGTTTGCTTCAAGTTTGCATCCATGAAGAATCCCAGGTGAAGAGGCCGGCGTGCTAATCAGTCGACCACTGTGCCACCTCAGAGCATCCCAGTC